AGGAAATTCTTGCGACAATTCGGTGATGGTGATGGACCAAACCTCTGTAGAGTAAAAAAGTAGATGTTAGTTCCACATTTAATGAAAATATATTTCGGTCTGGGTTGACCCTTGTTAGTTCTTGAGATTGTTTCTGTCACAAGCCTGTAAAAAGATATATTTTGTGCAGAATATATTTGTAAATATTATGCAAAGTATTGAATGTACGGAACTAGCTGATGTAAGCAGAATCTGTTTTCCTCTTTTTATGAAAATGATGTGTCGCCCCCTCCAGACTTGATAAAAAGTTAAAAACAAAATATTACAAAACTTTTTAGTTTTCAAAAGATTGTTGAAGCAAACGTACGATAAACATAATTATCATTTGTATAATTTACAAAACTCTGCTTTTAGTCCTTTAGTAGTAACAATTTTAGCTTTTAACTGTGATCCAGATCGCGAGAAAATCTTTCATTATTTTGCCAATAATTGCTTATTTAAAGAGAAAGAAACAAAAGATAAAGGGGGGGGTTGTTGGGGGTAATCACCCCCCCCCCATTAAATCTTGGGGACATAAATATCCCCGTTTAGAAACTTGATCTCCCACAATTGACTTACATGACGCCTGGCAATGTTTATGGCTGAAAAAAATGAAAAAAATGTCGACATAAATTGTTAATGCAGAGTTCGATGAAAACTGACAACTTGAAAACAACAGTTGACATACATTCTCTGTTGGAAATCGAAAACTATTATTACTCACACTGCTGTAAATGAACCATTGCAGGTTTCAAGTCCAAAAACCTAAACTTTTTCTTCAGAAGATGTTATATGCAGTCTTTTGCTGAGTTATAATCTCAATTTTTAGAAAATCCATTTTAAAGATATCACAGAAATCAAGTGCATTTACAGGTCTAAAATCAAACGTAAATATTCTATAAAGACTTTAAAATGCTTTTACTGGAGTTTTTTACATATATTAATGGCCGGGTACTCAAATTGTGTAACTTTTCATGAGCTGTCAAAAGACATATTGTAGTAAAAAACCAACGTCCAAAGTCAACTGCCTGACTGACTTTTTGGTGTGATTTTTAAGGATTCCACTTCAAAAACCCGTTTATTGGCAGTACTTAAACATACAGTTCACTTGTGGCTTTGAATTTTGCTAAAACGTGTATTAAGACTGTTAACAAATTACAAATTTGGAGACCCTGCCTTGCCATGTATTAACAGTTCAAAAAATATTGAAAAATAATTAGTATCAGCTTAACCCTATTTTGAAAAACTACAATTGACATACATTCCCTGTTGGAAATCGAAAACTATTATTACTCACACTGCTGTAAATGAACCATTGCAGGTTTCAAGTCCAAACACCTAAACTTTTTCTTCAGAAGATGTTATATGGAGTCTTTTGCTGAGTTATAATCTCAATTTTTAGAAAATCCATTTTAAAGATATCACAGAAATCAAGTGCATTTACAGGTCAAAAATCAAACGTAAATATTCTTTTAAAGACTTTAAAATGCTTTTACTGGGGTTTTTTATATATATTAATGGCAGGGTCCCCATGAGCTGTCAAAAGCCATATTGTAGTAAAAAATCAAAGTCCAAAGTCAACTGCCTGACTGACTTTTTGGTGTGATTTTTAAGGATTCCACTTCAAAACCCCGTTTATAGGCAGTACTTAAACATACAGTTCACTTATGGCTTTGAATTTTTGCTAAAACGTGTATTAAGACTTAACATCTTACACAATTTGGAGACCCTGCCTTGCCATGCATTAACAGTTCAAAAAATATTGCAAAAAAAATCAGTATCAGCTTAATCAAGTCTTGAAACTAAAGATACATTTATTTTAAGACCCGAAAATGCACTTGATTTCTACAATAGCTTAAAAATTAATTTACTCAAAATTCCCCAGATGGCATTTCCTGAAAATGGAGATTTTAATTCAGTAGACTGCATTAACATATTCCAAAGAAACAGTTTAGATGTTTTGACTTGAAACCTGATGGTCCATTTTCAGCAGTGTGAACTATTAACTTGAGTCTAAAAGTCAACTTCCTATTCCGGAGTTTTCTAGTTATCACTGTATTTCATTTATTCTATTAATTAACAAGGTCTGCCCTGTTTCATTTTGAAAATCTTAAACTAGTTTTTTTTTGGTTTTTTACATAGGTGTATAATGTATATTATATAAATAAAAAATAATTTTTTTCCAGATATTATTGTTCATTTAAAATGCTGTGTTGGACAGTTCAATGATATGAAATTAAGCAATGAAAAAGATTGAAAAAGATTGAAATTAAGCTATGAAAAAAAATTGAAATTAAGCAATGAAAAAGATTGAAATTAAGCATTACTAAAGGTTGAAATTAAGCTATGAAAAAGATTGAAATTAAGCAGTGAAAAAGATTGAAATTAAGCAATGAAAAAGATTGAAATTAAGCAATGAAAAAGATTGAAATTAAGCAATGAAAAAGATTGAAATTAAGCATTGAAAAAGATTAAAATTAAGCAATGAAAAAGATGAAATTAGGCAATGAAAAAGATTGAAATTAAGCAGTGAAAAAGATTGAAATTAAGCAATGAAAAAGATTGAAATTAAGCAATGAAAAAGATTGAAATTAAGCAGTGAAAAAGATTTAAATTAAGCAGTGAAAAAGATTGAAATTAAGCGGTGAAAAAGATTGAAGTTAAGCAATGAAAAAGATTAAAATTAAGCTATGAAAAAGATTGAAATTAAGCAATGAAAAAGATTGAAATTAAGCAATGAAAAAGATTGAAATTAAGCAATGAAAAAGATTGAAATTAAGCAATGAAAAAGATTGATTACCTCCCCTCCAATTACGCACTGAGGGCCAAGACATGATTGAATAAAATTATTTATTTATTTCCCAAAATCTGCAGAGTTGAGTTGAAGCGACAAATATTTTATGTGCGGAGAATCTGGGAACTAACCTCTGCGTTCTTCACACAAAGAGCCAAGATTGTATGAGCCGGGTCTACTACCAGGATAGCAGAACCTACACAGAACCCAGAGCCTGGTGATAAAACTGCGGATGGAAAACTTGTTCCGCGCTGAAATAGGACGAACATTGATATCTCTGCTAGGATAACAGAACAAATATAGAGGTCGGTCTAGGAGAATGGGGGGGGAGAATAATAATGAATATATATATATATTTTTTTAATTCACTAAAAATAACAAATAGAAAATTATTATTTGCTTTAAATTAATTTTTTAGTCTACAAAATAAATGTCCCCCTTACACAGTATTACTGGTTTTATTTCTCCAATAAGTTATACAATTTAAAGTTCAACAAATACGACATTTACTATCTCTCAATGCGCATTTATCGATTTATATTGATAGTTCATTGGTGATTGATAAATACTATAGGAGACCAATATCAGCCAATATTTTGCTAGGAGATAGGAAAAGGTCTGGAGGTAGAAGGAGCTCCGCATCAATAGTTCCTGATCAGTTGGCCCAGCCCGACCAGGCCTCAAGGTATCGGATTCGATAGATGCTATTTCT